ATACGTAACATAATATATAACTTTAAAAAATATATGTATGATTCCCTTTTCTTATATCCTCCTTTGTCTTTCCCCACAAAAGAAAGAAAAATATATCCATAGCCAATTAAAAGCTTTTTAACTCATCTCTTAACTTGTTTTTGTGACATGGTGCGGAACATATAAGCGTTTCACTCAAACCGGTTCAAATCTCCTTATTTCTCATTCCCCCTACCCTTCCCCCCAATTCCCCCTAGTACAAAAAAAAAAATAAAATAAACTTGTTTTCGTAATATTGAGAATGGAAATATTAGAGCAGAACAGAAAAATACCAAGAACAAAGAAAATGGATAGTGAACACCAATAATAATAATAATAATAAATAATATAATATGTCGACATCATCGTACATGACGTACGCAACGGGCTAATGATGTCTTGACAACGCATCACGTTGCACTACACCGACCAATGGGAGGAGGGGACCGTGTCAGAGGTTCACCTTGAATGGATTGGCTAAAACCATATTTAACAATTTTTTTTTTTTATAAGGGAATGATTAGAGATTAATAAGATTATAATTGTTAATAAAAAGTATTAAACTTAAATAAAAATGCAATCCACCTGCTGCCCCTTTTTAAACAGCAACGGTCATAGTCATAGTAGAAAAACACAAGAAAAGATGAGGAATGAATATCACACCCAAGGTAAAATGCCTTTAACCAATAGTTATAACCAATAGTTAAGTGAACACTTTCGCACACAGGATTCTTAAAACTCTATTTAACTTAGGCAGTTTGTTTCAGTACAGAGACCAGTTATCTGCCCTAATTAAATGGTTTACATATTTTAAATGATAAATAATAAAGATTATAAGTTGTTAAATATTGAGTTATATCAAATAATTAATTTAAACTGAATGATCTGTTTCGGTCCACTAATATTAAATCTTAAATTAAAATTATTTACTTCTTTTGAATTACGTGTTTGAATTCCACGAAATCTCTTTTTTTATTCCTCTAATTAACATGTAAATAATTGTAATATGTTAAAATAATAATAATAATAATTAATTTAAACCAAATGATCTGTTTCGGTCCATTAATATTAAATCTTAAATTAAGATTGTTTACTTCTTGTGAATTACGTGTTTGAGTTCCACGAAATCTCTTTTTTTATTCCTCCAATCAATATGTAAATAATTGTAATATGTTAAAATAATAATAATAATAATTAATTTAAACCTCTTTTACTCAACAAAAAAGTTTGGTTTCCACATTATTAATCAAGATTTAATTATAAAAAATCAATAAAAAGTAATTTTTTTAATAAAATTTTTAATTTTATTGTATATGACCTATGTTTGATCAAATAAAAAAAAAGATTAATCTCAAATATGGACCAACTAGCTCCGAAATATCCTACAAGCTAAACCAA